GGGACCCTGTGTACATAATTTCGCTCCACCACATGTACCACATGTGGTGCGAATGACAATAAAGAAACTCTGACTCTGACTCTGACTCTGAAGGCACTGTGGAGAAACTACGCAATCAGCCCGAACTGGTTACATGGGAGCCCAAAAAAGCCCTGTGGATAAGGAGCTTTAGAGACAAACAACCATTCACTCTCTCTCACACCTAGGAACAATTTAGAGATACCAATCAGCCTAACATGCATGTTTTTAGTCTGTGGAAGAAAACCAGTGTGCACAGAGAGAACATGCAAACTCCACCCAGAAAGGCCCCCAGCTGGGATTTAAACCGGTGACCTTCTTGCTGAGAGGCAACAGTTCTACCAACAGTGCCACCGTCACTTCTATATGATAACAAATAAAAATTTAAAAAAGGGAAATGAGTTTCACTCATGTACTTCAGAAAGTCCTTGGATGTCACCAGTCAGACATACCAGAGCAGATCAGAGCTGCAGCCCATCTGAATGTTTTTAATCCATATCTTGTTTTTATACGTTGGACAAAGACGGACACATTATGGTACAGTTTCTGTCCATTCGTCCATCTGTTTGTACCTCCGTTCACAAACTTTCCCTTAACTTATGACCCGCTCAAGACAATTTATTGAAAGTTCATACACATATGAATCATCTCTTGGCTGAGTGTTGTGTATGCATTTCATCACCCCAGCTCCAACAGCAAGGTCACAAATCAAAGTCAAATATTCTACGTCTTTGCTAGTACGGGCCATTGCTATGAATTGCTGTATAATTTATTTTCAACAGGCATATAATATGCCGTATACAATAGTCTTAATATATATTTTTATGTTTCCTGTAATTTTAAGGTGAAATGCTTGTAGCATTTTCAATTTGTGGCAAAGGGGTTTCATTAGAAATCCAAAAGAAAAAGTAATGAAAATATATTAAATATAGTGAAAACATAGAATAAAAGTATTTTATAAAAAATAATAATAATCAGGAAACATTTACTGTATATTCTAAAATAATGTATGGCAAAAACATAATTTCTGCATGTGTTTTACCATATAGAAACTGAAAAATGTGGCAAATGTATTTTGTTTTGTATGTATATATTTGAAAAAGGTTTTGCCCTTGATCAGGTTTTTTATTTTGCTCCATGTGAATGAGAGTTTGGCCCCCCTGAGTTCAAAGGTCACACGACTTTAATAAGAAGTTTGAAAATCTTTTTCTAATGTTTGAAGGGACTCATAAGGAACCAGATAGGGGAGAGGACAGTTCATTTTGTGGCAACACATTTTTCTTAAAATATTCTTGTGAACCAGGATTTTGTCCTGAGAGATGCGTCTCAGCTTTCTAACAAGCTAAAATTCAGTCTGTAAATTTATTGACCTGCTTTTTTTTAATCATCCAACTACTTTTTGGATTTGAGGTTTTTCTCTCTGATATATGTTTAAGTCTTACAAATAATACCCCCTGTAAGCTTTATATCTGACCTTTAGCTTTAAAAGAAACAGAACCTCTGTATATTTTAGAAGCACTTGTATTTTTGCTCCAGTTTAGAAGCAATTCATCAAACGTGGAATGAGATGTGGATACCTGCCTCAGCAGCACAGTTCAGGCCAAATGAACACCACCGAGACAATGTTCAACAAAGCTGTGTCAGCTTTTTGACAAGAGTTGGGCCAAGGTCATCTCTGCTGCAGAGTGCACGGTCCGACAGTGGCGCCATGGTTTGCAGCTGTCGGAGCTGCTCCTGCTGCATTATGTTAAATGGTAATGGACTGTACTTATATAGCGCCTTTCTATCTTATTTCAAGATACTCAAAGCGCTTTACACTACAATCTGTGTCCTCATTTACCCATTCATACAGCACTCTACTAGATCTCTACAAAGCTAATGGAACAAATCATTCTAAAGAGACTAATCAGTGCTTTATCACATTCAATCACAGATGGGACACACATCAGAGGCTATGAGGGGTTCAGTGTCTTTCCCAGGGACATTTCGGCATGTGACTGCTGGTGGATTCTAACCCCCAACTCTTGCATTGGAGGACAACTGCTCTAACCACTCAGCCACAGCCGCCCCATGTTGTGTTGGTTGTTTGGTCTTTGTGTGATCTGCAGCTTTTGAGTCCGTCCAAGTGTGTGCAGTTTGAGTGTCATCAAATAATCTCAACAATCCAGTCTGGATCTTCTCCCATCCTAAACTGGAAAGAGTAAAATAAGTGTCACACCTGAGGTGTACACTCAGATAGTAAGGACTGAAGGATCACAGACTCAGAATACTTTAAAATAAATAATTGATTTTACAGTGAAATAATGCAGTCTCTATGTGCAGGTGGCACACACTGGACATTCCTGGAATGGAAGGGGAGATGGTCAGAGACTCTTTAGATTCAGTATGTAATATTACAGCTTGATATTTTTTCCTTACAGTGAGTTGGAAGAAGGGCAGCACAAAGAGGAGGTTGTAGGAATCCAAATCCAGGAAGGCTCATTGGGTGGTGTATGGGTGGAGTGAGAAGGCAAGTGGAAGGAAGGCGGAGGGGCAGTTGGAGAGGACCCACAAAGGAGAGCTCTTTACTCACATGTAAGTATTGCTATCAAGTTCCACAGGACAGCCAATTAGGTCCAGGACTGGAGGCGCAGGAAACCAGTTTCTGTCAGAGCACGAGGAGAAACACAAAGGTAAGTTTGATCAAGATCAATAATGTTTCACTAGGAGGCTGAGAGCACAAGTATCATGAAGTAGGTACCGCTCCATCACTGGATGAGGCGTGTCTGCAGCCTCCTAGTCCTGATGGTAATTAGTGGAATGGCTGTCAGATGTGACCTGCTGAATCTGCCTCTGGAACCAGGAACCTGGAAACCTACAATAAGTTTTGCTTTATACAGAGTATTTTAAAAAAATTAATTCTGAGGTCATCAGAACCTGAAATGGAGGGAAAGCTTTAGTGTATTTGCATATTGATCAACTAAGGCCATCTTATGTTGAGAAATTATGGAGTCATTTGAAAAAAGAAAGCATAATCTCATGAATATGTTTATGTTGTGAATAGCCCTCAACTTCTATCACACCACATTTTAGCTCAAAATCTCTAAAACTGACTTATTTACAGGCATTTTTGTTCTTGCTAAGCCAGTTGTCTGCCATCAAGAAATGGGATGTTTATAATTTGTAGAGCCAGTGAGTCCTTTCTGAAAGTTTCATACAGATTTGTCCATTTGTGTTGGTACCAGACACAAACACATAGATACTGGAATAAAAACATCAATGTCCTGTTTGCCTCTGTTTGTTGACAAATGTTCCAACCAGGGCTTGAGTGGAGGGCTTCATACTGCTGTTTTTTTAGGTAAACCATGTTTTTCACTTGGCGGCACGGTGGCGCAGTTGGTAGAGCTGCCGCTTCTCGGCGAGAAGGTTGCCAGATCAAATTTCGGCCGGGGGCCTTTCCGGGTGGAGTTTGCATGTTCTCTCTGTGCATGGATTTTCTCCGGGCACTCCGGTTTCCTCCCACAGACCAAAAACATGCATGTTAGACTGATTGGTAACTCTGAATTGTCCCTAGGTGAGAGAGAGGGAGTGAATGGTTGTTTGTGTCGTTTGTCTCTACGTGTCCTTGTGATGGACTGAAGACTTGTCCATGTGTCCTCCGCCTCTCGCACAGTGACTGCTGGATATGGGCACCAGTGACCCCCATGACCCAGAAAGAAAGAAGTGGGTAAAAGATAATGGATGGATGGATGCCTTGTTTCTACAGTATATTAAGATATTTTGCTATAAGAAACAAACCATTGCAACCTGTTTTAGACTTTAGCAATGTGTAGTATGATCTCTAGCAGGTTGCCACAGATTTATTGGTCATGTTGAAAAACTCTGTAGCGTAACCTTTAAAATACCACATTATGTAGCAATGACCCAACAATACCAGTACACAAGCTCATACTACATTATACTAATACTTTTCTGCACTACCACAGTACTGTGGCATACTTGTATAGCTTTTATGGGCAGTATGTGTTACCATTGTACTTTGTATGATGTGGGTATTGATGTGCAACTAAATGTGAGGGCTGAAACAGTTTTGCAAGACTCACATACAAAAACAAGCTGATTTATTTTATTTGATCAAAAACTGTGACTTCAACAGAAATTTGTTGTTTTCCTGCAATTTTGAGTCACCAAAAAAGTCTTCAACATTCCACTGGCCAGTGATAAGCTACATTGTCAGATTAAAACTGTGATGTCAACGCCATTAAAAACTTCCCCTAACTTTTCTGACTACACATGGAAGAGCTAACCTCTTATTTCTGCTCATTAGAGTGATGCCTACCTGAATACATGGAATAAAAATAATCATCCCGCTGTTCAGGTCAGGCAGAAAAGAAGGCGCCAGCTTCAAAGAAACAAACACTGTTGATGTGCTTTCTTGTTCTGCAAACACAAGGTTACCTTGGTGTGTTTCTTCAAAGTGACTGTCAGTGGAAGGTGACAGGTTTAATTAAGGGGTATTGGCTGTGTGCTGCCAACAGAGAGCCTCTACTCAGAGAAAAAAAAGTCTTTGTAAGGCTTAGCACTGGGGAAGTCTCAGCGCTGGCTGAAGATCAGACAAAAGGTGCAGTCAATACTGACACTCTCACATCGACAGTAGCAGGGGGTGAACAGGCCTGATTTGGGCTAATGGTAATTGTGACCTTTTTGCTGGGAGCCACTAAACGGGTCCTTTTCAAGTAGCTATTTGATCCTCTCATTCAATTATCTGAGATGAATCCTTCCAGGCAAAAGCTAAGCTTCTCGATGTGAGTCGCCATTTGTTCCCCTAAATTGAAGAAGCTGCTTCTGTTTCACAAACAATCCCAGATTTCAGCTGCAGTCGCTTCCATTAAATTTTCATGGAGAGTGTTAAAGACTTTAGAGCATTGTTGTAAGTAAATGATTTAAGTGCAGCATCTGTGTAATCACTCCCCATCTGTTTCTTCTGTTTTCTTTCTAATCAGGTCAGGAAGAGTGGGCAAACAGTCGAGGCAAGGCTCCATCGGCGCGAACGACCAAGGGGGTGTTCAGAGACCAGCCGTACTCCAGATATTGAACTGTTTATACAAGCCATGCCTGACTCCTCATGCCTGGTTCAACCCAAGTAATGGATTTTTTTTGTACGGACGTTGCTACCTTTTTAGAATTGAGAACTAAACTACAAAATAACTCAAGTAAATCCTGAACCCAAAATGTTTTTTTCAGTAATGGAATCCTGCCTCTTGAACATAAACCAGACTCTTGACTGGGTAAACTGTAAAACCCTTTAGGTAAACTGACAGTCCCTCACCCCTAACGGAGGCTCAACTGGATGTTCGGACTGAGAACGACTCTGTACAACATTGTTTCTCTCTCAGCTCTGTGATTGTGAAGAACAACATTTTATCAGCTCTTTTATTGATAACATTATTATTAGTAAGTCTGTAGAAGCTGTTGGATCCAGTGTTTCTAACAGCTTTATTTATCAACACCCCCCCACCCCCCCAACCACACTCATTAGACCTCTGACCATCAACATGTATTATAATCCTAGACCAAAAGACCCCGACTTCTCTTGTTGTTGGGTGGGTAGTGAAGCCAGCAGGTTTATAAGAGCAGCTGTGTTGGAGCTTTTTTTGAACTAGAGTCTGTGCACTAGTGACGGGGGAGTTTTAAGTCCCATCCCACTCCCCCGCACACAACCCTGGTGTCACACGACTCTTTTAAATATTACTAAACATATCCACCTTATTCCTGGGGCTCTACTGTGTACATAATTATGGGTACAACTTCCTGTCAGACAGGAAGTAGCAGTAAGCATTGGTTAACCATGGTGGTGGAGCACAGACTGCGGTTTATTTGAAAGTACTTTGCATACAGTTTATCAAATAAAACACAGTTTTTGTTTTGTTCACATTTATTTAACAATCATAAAGTTTACTGAAATAGCCGTGCTGCGTTCATGTACCTGTTGTGTTCACGGCTGCAGAACAACCAGACCAAACTAAATCAGAGGCTACAACAACAGAGTTTTGAACAAGGACCAAAAACAAAAAAAGTGTTGATGAGAAAAGAGGTATAGTTTCCATGTTCTACCTACAGATGAGGAATTAAGAAGAATGTGGCTGAAAAATGTGAACTTGAAGAGACCACCCAAAACTCTGTATGTGAGCTCATTTCACATTGTTGACAAACGGCCGACGGAGGAAAACCTGCATCCTACTTTGTGTCTGGACGACAATAAATCACCGGAGAAGAGACACTGGATCCTCAGAAGGATTGAAATCAGTGCTGAGAACATCAGGTTTGATTGCAAGTGTATGGAGGCACAGCATTATAGTATTTGTTCATCTTCAGTTTTATGATTTTCTCTGTAATTAACTCAAGCTCAGTGATGGAGGACTTTAAGGCTTTGGCTGGACTCCATGTTTGTTTTAAGGTCTATAAGATTGTGTCCCACCTCTTTTAACAAAACACCACCGACCTTATTACTGTGTAGATACTGATACACTCAGAGCTTTTTAGGTTGTTCCTCACTTCATTGTCGGAAGCAACCAAGTCAATGACGTAGCTAAATTATGCTAGTAGCTGTAATCTGCAGCCACTTCTTCAGCTCGTCCTCCATCCCTGGTCCTCAGCAGGCAGCAGTATGATTATATTGTCCTGTTTGAGCTCTGACAGGTGGTGTTCCTATATGTATACAGTGCTCGGAGAAACTACATTAGCTCGTACTGTTCACACATAAACAAAAGCAAGTTCTGGTCTGCACTGGAAGTCGTGCTCATAATTCATGCAAGGCACCATGGGGGCTAGGAATAAGGTGGATAGGAAACAATATTTTTTTTAGCACAAAGCAGCAAGTCCAAAGAGAAAACCTAAAAAAAAAAAAAAAAAGATTTTGTTTGTGTGGAAGGGGCGGTACTTCAAACTTGTTCTGGCACCATCCTATAGGAACGCTGGTACCTCTCCGGCTTCATCCTCCCATATGGGCTCCAGTATTATAATAAATGTCAATGCCTCTGAGGTGTAGTAGCTTAGTTCTAGGAAAGTGCAGTTCTGTAGATATTTTTCCTGAAGGCTAACTGGTGAAATTTGTGTCCCCTGTAAATGGAAAAAATTTACAAACAAAAAAAAAGAGAAAGTCATACTCAAAATACTGTACGCTGTTTTTATTTTATTTTTTATTTTTTGTAAAATAATAGTCTGTTAGTGTTAAAGGGCTTATAAAAGCATGATGTGCACCTGTGGATATTGCTGGCTGTTTTATTCTAACACGCCTGTGTAGTCATGTTCAATATGTCCTAAAAACATCCGTTCAAACACGTTGCTACAAACCATCTGCACAGACTTCATGTACAGTGAACAACTGGAACTATACGGTAGTTTGGACGAGTTTCATTGTATTCATTCAACCTTTATTTAGACAAGTATATTTTTTAACATTTCATTTGAGGATTATAACCACTCTTTTGGGGGTTGTTTTTCTATTTTTAGTTTTAACATCCTAAATTGTCTCTCCATAAGATTTGTTCAACTTTATGGATTGTGAGCTTATGTAAGCCCTTTAATATCTTCTTTGTTGATGCTGAATAAAAGATTAAAAAAAATGTGTTGAAGACAATAATACATTTTTTAAAACCATTTTATAATTTAAACTAAACAAAATATTTATAATTTATGAATAAATTGTGCATCTTGTGGGCACACATCAAGAGTTTTGCTTATTTGTCTAATTCACAAAGCTCTCATAAAGTGATAATTGCAGAATAAGCTTTGTGCTGGCATAGTGTGGCAACATTAAATCAGGTTTTATGATGCATTTAGAGAAAAATGAATGCTCAGGTTTAATAAAAATGAAGTCCTTGCTAAAATCTTCTGATTCTCTCAACTCAGTGCTGTTTCAGACACTGTTTCTGTGAATTATCTTTCTGGTGAGTTTGTTGTATTCACATCTCAGGAGAAGAAAGTGAGGAAGAGGAGTGTTCTGCTGCACTTTCCATCGTCTGTACAAAAAATAGGGCATGCATGACGAGAAAAGTGTATTTCGCTCTCCTGTGCCAATAATGTGTCAGACAATGGCATTTATAAATACACATGATCAAAAATGTGTGTTTTTGTTTAACATTTTATAACAAAATTACTTTTGAGAAGCCCAACATTTTTCAGTCAGGTCATTTGGACAGTTTCTCTTTTTTGTGCTGAAACCTTTCGCCTTCGGTCCGGAAGGCTTCATCAATGAAGGAAACACACAACAAAACGTTGGTTACATACTGTAACCCCAGATTCTATGAGTATAGGCGTAGCCCTTTAAGGCTGTCGCTTGTGGGTTTTATCCCGTCACGCAAAGCGTTGCACTTAGTCCACGCCCACCTGTCGTGTGGGCCCCACCCGGTCCGTATAAATTACGTTGAGAGCGGGTAATCGGCTCCCAAATAGCTTTTTCATCAGCCATTTAGGAGCCAGTGAGGCCCAGAGCTTAAAGGGCTACGCCTATACTCATACAATCTGGGGATCCAGTACATAACCAACGTTCTATTTCATATAGGCTTCGCCCTTTAAGGCTGTCGCTTGTGGGTTAAGGGTGAAGCAGGATGTAGTCTTTGCCTCACTGGGTCCATTCGAACTCCGTATGAAGCGCCCGCTTGCACCAAAAAACATTTTATCACTCAGCCCTCCATGTGCGTAAATATGCGCTGCGTAATTACGTGCACCATGTACGCGCGCGCGCGCTGTGTAATTTATGCATTCCGTGTACATGGGCACCTGGAGAGAAAAGTTCTCGACGGGAAAAAGGGGAGAGGCTGAAAAAACAGTGAACAGATTCAAAATAAATTAACTGATTAGTAAGCAAATGAACTGATTGGTAACAGTATTCATGAACTGATTAATGATATTAGAACAAAAACCAGCAGTCACAAACTTGTGACAGATGTAGTAGACTCGGCCTCCGACCAAAACCTGCCTCTGAGGACCTTCATGGGACAGGAACTGTTATTTCATTGATTTGAATCCAGAAATACAATATAGCTCATCTAGAGACTGTCTAATTGTATCCTGAAGTAATCAATTGAAAGAACACTCTTCTTTTTATATTGTCATCACTATTTTACAATATCTTGATAAATCAAAGGTGTGTTTAGTTCATACCATTTCTAAATGTTGAAGTGAACCACTCATTTTAAATCAACTATGAAACAGTATTAATGATTTTTTTAATCCTCATTCAAATTAGAAATCAAGTTAAATGTCTATTTTACAAAGTAATTATGCATTTTTGATCTTCTGTCTGAAATGAGAGAGTGATGTCGGTCGAAAGTCAGAAGAGGAGTTATTAGAACGAAGTGTCGTGTTTTTAAACCTAGTAGACAGTAAACAAGAAGCTACTGGCCTCTCTTCCTCCCACTTCGGCATAACAAGTCTTCTGTCTGTACGGGACGTTTTTAAAACATTCCTGCTGTTTTCTTGACTTGTAATGACCCTCTGACATCACTAGAACCACCCCCTGTTTGTTGCTTCAACCAATCAGGAAGTACTAAAGTGACCGGAAGTGAGAACTCTTTAAAAGTCGACACTTCCTGGAACTGTTGTGTTCTGGAGTCAGTGCTACAGTTCTGCAGTTCTCAGTCTTGAGTTCTCAGTCTTGAGTTGAACTCAGTCTTCATGGAGTCTTCCACTTCTGAGTGGAAACTCTGAACGGACTCACAGATGCTTGCTGTGAGTCCACCCGGGCATAAATGCCCTACAACTTCGAAGGGAGCTGAGCCTTTTTGTTGAACGGAATAAGTGACACAACTTCTGCCGAGTCGCAGCCGCCCTGAGGAGACGCTGAAAGGTAGCGTGCCAAGGACCTCTTGATCGTAGCGGACCCATCTTCTGCCAAGGTAAAGAGTCGTCACGAGCTTCACGCACTAAGTGGACCGAGGGCGAGCTGCGTTTGAAAGGAGCGTGCTGTTTCTGGTCCACAGACATACATCTTCCTTCAAACCTCTTCCTTTAAACTCCTCCATTTCCCATCTTTAAACTCTTCTATTTTGCCAGTAATTAATCTAGAGGCCTTCAGAAATGTCTGTTGTTTTTATTAAGTAAAACGTGCCAAGTTTTATTAATCAGAACCAGATCAACTAATCAAGTGTACAATGTTTTGATGTTAAATTTTGATTCTGTTCAATAAATGACCACATTGATTCTGATGGGTCAAAGAAAATTAACATCTCATGTCACTGATTAAACCATCTACGCACCGTTACCTCGGTCACATGGCTGTAATTTAGCTCGAAAAAGAGAGAACCCGTTATTTAAATTATATTGTAGTGAATGTACAGCAAAGCTGACCTTGAC